TATGTAATTTTTTGGAGAATCGGTAGGAATAACATTGTGTAACACGCTACACGTATCTATATGTTTTATAAATATTCGACTGTGTATTTACAGTCAAACATGAGCAAAAGATTCTATTAAAACTGGTAAAAACGATGGACATTTCTAGTAATGAACATGGTGGCCCAGTAATGGACATGATCGAACCCAGTGATAGATACTCCTGTCTAAAACTAGTTAGAGATGTTTTAGAGAAAAACTAAGAATATCATGCAATTTTCTGTTGTTTCTAAACTCAGAAAATACAAAAGCATGATGATTTAAAGTGAATTAAGACCCTTAAGTAAGAGTTTCAAATGTCGTTGGAAAATATTTGTTTGGAAAACGTTATGCAATGACATTTTATAAGACATTTGATAAGATTACACAGTTTTATGTTTAACTAACAAACTAGCACTTAAATTATCAATATGCAATTTTAAAAATATAAAAGAATTTGTTATAAAAAAATTAATTTCAAATTTCACTTTCGATTGGCTACAGGATATATACAGCTCTCTGGATATAGCCAAGTAATTTTCATAAATTCGTTTATAACAAATAAAATTGAAACAAATTATTTCCCACATTTAATACTTGGGAAAATTCCAAAATTTATCGATGGCATTCAATGCGTTTATTTCTTCATCGATTGAATTACCAATGCTCAGCGGTTACATCGGCTTTTGGAGTCCATTGATCCACTGGATGAAACTTCAGTGTTGTTATAGTTCAATTTACTTCACATATTTCTATGTTTTCTTTCTGTTTATATGGGAAAGTTTCAAAACTCAGTGCTGAGGTCATCAAATCCATTTCTACACTGGGCGAAATGATGTCATTAATGAGCTATTAACTTGCCCTATTTATATCTATATTGAAATTCAACAATTCAGCAGGTAAGTTTTCTTCAAACATTTTTTTTACTTTTCATGTGTTTAGTAACCCTCCAGGAGTGTTAACCGTTGAAGCCCTTCAGGTCGTTCCTAAACTGAGCATAAATCGCTGTCGTTCGCTACTGGATTTAATCAATTGATGGAATCCATCGATGGAATTAATGCTAATTTTAAGAACATGCTCTTTTTGTTATTAAGTAATGTAAGTTCTTTAAGTTCTAATTTTTGTAAACATTATGTCTATATTAATATCATTACATTATATTAATATTATCATTATATAATATATTAATATCAAAAAATTATGTCTTAGACTTGCCATGTCCATTTATGTTTAAGCTCTTTTTTAGATTTTATTTTTTTCTAACTTTTATTATGATATTTCTTTTAATTCAGATGCCCTGGAGGGTTATCAGGAATCGAAGAGGAAGCAAGGTTAGAAACAAGAGGATTCGGATGGTTATGAAGTTTATTATGGAAGGATAGGTAGGCATCTGGATTGGGCCAAAGCGGAAACATATGGAATATTGAGGTCTTTATGGATTATTTTATTTGTGACAAAGTAAGGAGCATTGAGGATTTTATGAAGGATTTTGGATTGTAAAGATTGGATACGAGAGGAATTTGATGGTTTAGTGGAGCCCCATAGCTCAACTCCATAAGTCCAAATAGGTCTTATTATAGTCATGTATATGAGTCGTTTGTAATTAATTGGAAGTTTAGAGCGTTTGTCCAATAAGTGTTGGAGTAAGCGGAAACGTCGAGCAGTTTCTTGTCGTTTCAGTCTTGTATGAGGATTCCAAGTGAGACGTTTGTCCAGCTGGAGTCCTAGGTATCGGATTTGTTCTACAGGGATAAGTGGGGTGTTATTAAAGGATACTATAGGACAGTAAGGTTAAGGTTTGTCATTGGTTTATGACGAAGGGTAAAGGTGATTTGATGGGATTTATTGGAGTTTATTTTAATCCTCCAGTTTTGACACCATTCTTTAAGGTTTGTGATGAGTGATTAAAGAGTTTGGGATGCAATTGTAAGATCATTATTAACTGACAGGATACATGTGTCATCAGCATACGTAGTGATGACAGTGTTAGGATGGGTTGGGATATCAGCTGTATAAACTGTGTAAAGGATAGGACCAAGGATACTACCTTGAAGAATTCCAGAATATTTAGAAAAGAGGGATGAATAGGTATTATTGTGATTTGCTTTGAAGTGTCTATCAGTAAGATAGGAACTGATGATAAGAAAATATGTAGGGGGAAGGAATTTACGAAGTTTGTAAAGCAATCCCGGATGCCAGACTCGATCAAACGCCTGTTCAACGTCGAGAAAAACTCCAGTGCAATACATTCCGAGCTCCAATGCAGAGGAGACAACGTCTACCACACGATGATATTGCTGGATAGTGGAATGGGACGTGCGGAATCCAAATTGGTGATCAGGGATAATGTGGTTAGAATCTAGGATGGGATACAGGCATTTTAAGATGAGCTTCTCTAGGATTTTGCCCATAATGGGTAAAAGAGAGATAGGGCGGTAAGAGGATGGGTATTCTGGTGGCTTTTTGGGTTTATGCATCATTTTGACTACAGATAGTTTGCAAGGGTCAGGAAAATATGTGGAACGGAGTGCGGCATTATAAATGTAAGTAAGGAATAGAATGGCTTTTCGAGGAAGTAGTTTAAGAATATGGGATGTGATTAGGTCGTGGCCAGGAGCTTTGAGGGAGGGTAATCTGTGAATAATATTAGATATTTCCGAAGGATGAAATGCTTTAGGAGGAGGAGTCATTTGGAGTGGAATATCCAATTCTGTTTCAATACATTCAAGCTGATTTGGATTAAGGATATCAGGATGTGGATTAAAAGTTTTGAAGAGGTGATGAGCAAAAATTTGGGATTTTTCTTCATCAGATTTGGACCAAGTTTGAGTTTCAGTAAGAAGTGGATGATTAAAGTCTTGAAACTTAAGAAGTTTTTTGGTGGTCATCCATAATGATTTGTCAGTGGTTGTAAGTTTTTCAGTAAAATTTAGTAAAGTTTGAATTTTGTATTTTCTAATTTCTGATTTTAGTTTGTTAGTCAGTTGGGTGTAATGAGTTTTATCTGTTGGATATCTAGTTCTATACCACTTCGATCTTGCTCTGCGTTTTTCCTTTAATACGATACGAATATGCTGTGGCAAGTTAGTCTTTTGTAAATTGTTAATCTTACAATTAAACGTGTTACTGTTTATACTGTCTGTTATTGATGTTGTAAGTTTTTCTATGGCACCATTAATGTCTTCTTTTGTCTTTAGCGGAATTTTCAAGTCTGGTTTGTTTTCCAAGTCATCACGAAATTTGTCCCATTTCACTCGTCCTGTAATCAATTTAGGAGATGATGGTTAAGGAGCATAGCTTGAATGTAGTGAAAGCAGTACTGGACTATGGTCTGAAGAAAGGTCATCGAGTGATTTGATTAAGGTTTGTGAGAATGAAATCTGGGAGGAGATAAATATATCCAGGATATCGGGACGTTTTTTTAGTGATGTTGGCCAATAAGTAGGATTCATGGGCGAGAGGATTGAATAACTGTTGGAAGATGAGACACGTGAAAGGATGTTACCGCGCTAGAGGGATGTTCGACAACCCCATCGTTGGTGTTTAGCATTGTAGTCTCCTCCAGTAATAAAGCGCGATTCGAGGAATTGGAATAAGGTTTCAAGGAGGTTATAGGAGATGGAGTTACCAGGAGGACAGTATACAGCTGAGAATGTGAGATGGAAAGGGCGAGTTGAAAGGACTACAGAAGTTGATTGAATGGCATCAGTTGGAGTGGAAGGAATAAGGGAGTGGGATAAAGATTTATGGATAGGGATGCAGGAACCAGCGTGGGAGGTGTTATCTGGGTGGTCAGATCTGTAAGTGATATAGTCATGTATGTAGAAATGTGTCCGTTGAGTGAAGTGAGTTTTCGTTAGAAGGCAATGTCAATGTGATTGTCATGGAGAAATAAGTCTAGTTCATCTCGGTGGTTAAGTAATCCATTAGCGTTCCATAAAAGGACAGCTAGGGGCTTTGTATTCATCGAGGGAAGTTGAACGGGATTTCGGAAAGAAGTCTGGTGAGGAGGGTAATGAGCGGTTTGATAGCCTTTTGAAGATCTATCAGGAATGTTGAAAGGACAGAATTGATGTCGGAAGGTTTTTGGCTGCGAAGTGGATTTAGGTCAGGAGGATGTGATGGGTAATTTGTATGACTAGGATTGTTGGAAGGGGGATGTGCCCGACGTGGGATGCGAGGAGTTGGATCTAAATTCTGTTGGGCTTGTATAAATGGGAGGATTATATTGGGATTAGGAACAGATGGAACTGGGTGTGGATGCTCCAGCGGGGGGTTTGACCCTTAAGGGTAGATGATGAAGAGGGATTTGCTGATGAGGAGGTTGAGGCTGAGGTTTAGCAGTTTTAGGCTTGGATTGGGAAGCCTGAGGCGCCTGTCGTCGAGGCTGCTGGTTCTTGATGGTGGTTTGGAGATGTAAAGTTCTCGAACCCTGTTGAGGATAGTCCGTAGCTGTGGAGATGGATGGTTGAGACTGGATGACTTGAGAAGGTGACAACGGCAGTGCTGGGAAATTTGTTCTATCATCGATTGCGGGGGCCTCAGTGCCACTTTTATGATCAAGGCTAAGGCTTTTCAATGCCATATTATGTGATCTCAGCTTCAGAAGATTTTTATAAACTATGCAACCTCTGTCGCTCGCTGGGTGTCCCTCGCCACAAAGTGCACATGTAGCAGCCTCTTACATTGGTTTCTGGCATTTTAGATCTTAAAATCTATTTTTACAACCTATATCTTGGTAAATTTATATATTCAAATCCAGGCTCTAGTGATGAACAATGTTGTATCTTTTGTTTTCATAGTTAAAATCTCTCGCCCATACACAAACTAGAGAAGACTGAATAATAATTAATAAACCAATATAAAATTTAATGAGGCTAAGGCTCATATAGAACATTCAATATGAAAAATCAAACTAAAACCTTACAAACTATGCAAACAAAGCAATTCACTAAGTGCTAAAAATAAATAATTTAACTTACATATCCCAACATAACTTCAGTTTTAAATTGCTGAAATATTAACCGCAAATTAGAGCTTCCATCTTTCATAGCACTATGCAATATCTGATAGTGTTGAAGAAGTTCAATAGAATTTTCAGGAGTATCATAAGGTGGCGGCATAGGAGGGGCTAAGATATGTGAACTTTTCTTACATTTATACAGAAAATGTCGCACAGTTGATATATTAACATTATTCATTGTAAGGACAGGATTGCTAATCACATTAGAGATGACATTAATGCTTTGGTTACGCTGCAATTTCTGAAAAAGGAATAAATAAAAACAAAATCAATTCATGATGCCATATTTTTGGTTAAACGTAAAGAAAATGCTAGATTCATTAAAAACAAAAATTCTCCAATATTATTAAAAACATGATTTAAAAGGAATAATGAAGTATTGAAAATATTCCTGCAGGATAATATAAATATTTCTCAAGGACAGTGAATGTCAACTCAGTTCAAACAGAAACTATTCACTGATAAAATTATTCACAATATCCATAATACTGAAAAAATAAGAAAATACTGAATAGCCAACATCGCATATACCAAAATTTCCAGAAAACTTATGATTCCTCAGTAAATAGAAACAGGCATATATGGCAACTGTGGAATGGGACACAACTCCTAAATTGCAACAACTTGTAAGAATGATTAAGGGTAGTAATCTGCTATTCGTAAGGAAGGATGATGAATAATACTGAGTTCACAACTGGATATGAAGGAAGACTGGTTTGTCTAGTATTCTCTTTGAATTAAGGAAGCATTTTTAAAAACCTTCTACATATCCTACAGATGTGAATTTTCCAATGAACTGGAAATCAAAGGAAGATTCCAGAACAGGTTCTGTTAGTAAATAACAACAATGCTAGTCCTACTGTTTTAACATTTATAAACTGTTTTAGATTCAATTTAATACCTTAATAGAAAAAGTAATGGTTAGAAAAAACATTTAATAAGTTGGCTCTTAACAAAAAGTAGTTTAAGATTGGAAACCAAGTAGATGAGAAGCTTAAACACGTAATACAACAATAGTATGTGTAAAATAAATAACAAGTATTGCAGACTACAAGAAAAGGGAAGTAGCTGAAGTATAAGTATAGTATAAGGTGCTACAGAATGGACCAAAATGGAGCCATAAACAATAAATCGCAGACTTGTCTCCCAACACACCAAGGTCATCCTCTACAAAACCCTCATCCGCCCTGTTTTGACTTACAATTCTGAAACCTGAACTACTGCAAAAGCAGATGAAAAAGACCTGCTTACTTTTGAAAGGTAAATCCTTCGCCAAATCTATGGGCTCACCAGTGGGAACAGACAATGGAGGTGGTGTAGAAATAGAGAAATCTATACCCTCTATAACGAGCCTGATGAAGTCCCAATTATCAAGGCAGGAAGATTTAGGTGGGCGGGACACCTCGCACGGATGTCAGAGCAGTCAATCTCAAAGAAAATATTAACAACAGCAATTCAGCAGGCACAGAGTTGGGAGAACCAAGCTACAGTGGTCAGACTATGTCGCAAGTGACTTAAGGACCATCGGAGTAAAAAATTGAATGGCAGCAGCACAGAATAGGGACAGATGGTGATAGCTGTTGGAGGAAGCCAGGACTCGCTTGCGGATTGTTGAGCATTAATTGTTGAAAATTAATAAACAATAAATCAGTAAAATAATAATCATAAACATTAAAAAAGAAAATAAGTAGTCATTCAAGTTAAAATTTAAGAGAGAACTAGCAGCATATCACAAAAACGTTTCAGCATGAAGTACCTTGACAAATCAAATAATAAATAACTATCATATATTAAAAAAATACTTCTATAGATAATGATTAATATCTATGTGATCAGTAATTCTAAAAAGAACTATTCTAGAAACTGAGGTTTTTCATATTATTGGTGCCAAGACTTTTCTGCAGGATTTATGCCAAGCATTTCTATAATATGAATACCAAGGATATGGAAACAACTAAATATAATACATTTAAAGTGGAATAGTAATACTATATACTTCTGTTATTTTCTTCTTAGCTTCTGATAATTCATGAAAAAGATCAGCATCAACAGTCAAAAGCAACAAACAAGCCTGACATTCTTCAGTCAAGTAAGAAACATGGCCATGCAGGTACCCACTAAAATAAATAAAATTATAATTTTAATACAATAATTAAGTAACACATTATGACTTTTAAATGTTATTAATAACTACATGAAATGAAATGAGAATTTTTTTTATTATTCTGGGACTGTTGTCCCTTTAGAATTAAGTTATAAATACAGAGCTAGTATGGTCATACATTAAATTAAATATTTACAAAATAATAGGTAATTAAAAATAAAAAGAGAGAGTGAGAGGGGTAGAGATAGGGGAGGGAGAGGGAGTAGAAGAGTGGGGAGTGAGGGAGAGAGAGAGGTGGAGGGGGAGTGAGGTAGAAAGGGAGAGGATGAGAGGGGGAGGGAGAGGGGGAGAGGGACAAAAATATACATAAATATAACATAGACATAGGAAAATAAAATAGCATAAGTAAAGGAATGGATTTGAGGAGTGAGGGGGAATCCAATCAAGATGGTTTTTGTCTTCTCGGTGTTTAAAGTGAGCCTACTGAGGTTTACCCAAGCACATATTCTGTTAATATCTTCCTGGTGTTTTGATATGGCACCAGAGGAATCATCCGTATTGAAGGAGAGATAAAGTTGGACATCACCAGAATACAGGTGATATTGACAGTGCAGGATATAGAATGGAAGGTCCTTGATATAGATGGGAAAAAGAGCGGGAGATAAGGAGAAACCTTGAGGAATGCCTCTGGACAAGGGAAGACTATGATGGAGTATTATTAAGGAATACAACATACTGGGAGAGACTGGTAAGGAAGAATTGGAACCAATTAAGGCCAATAGAAGATAAGGAGATATTTTTAAGTTTGGTTATGAGGATATTATGGTCTACTGAGTCAAAGGCTTTGGAGAAGTCAAGGAGAATAAGGATGGTGAGTTTCTGCTGATCCATGGCTGTATGGAAGTCTTGGGAAACTTTGATGAGGGTGGACTGAGTAGAATAGCTAATCTGGAAACCAGACTGAAGGGGTTTAGGAGGTTATTCTGTTCTAAAGAGTGGAATGACTGGGCTTCGACTAGTCACTCTAAAGTTTTGGAAGTGTCATGGCCGCTAGTGCAATTCAAGTTACACGTCGCTCTGCCTTTGATAAGATCTAATGTGCTTATTATTTAAAATACTGCTCTAAGACTTTTTCAACAGTGACTATATTAATAGTTTTATATTTTTATATTCACATTGATCAGGTGAGTGACTATTTATTAACAATGAAACAGTTATAAATTAGTGCTCGTTTGGTTAGCCCATGTGGCTAGTAATTCCCTTGCGGGTTTTACCTTATCTGCGATAAGTTCAAGCCAAGGCTCGGCACTGTGTACAATAACATTCTTCAGTGTTATTCTCAGTTCGAATCCAAGACATTTAACTTCATTTTTTTTTTCTTTATATTTTCTTTTTTTTTTCTTTCCAGAGACTCTTTTATTTCATTTTTTTCTTAGATTATTTATTTTTTGGAAATGAATTATTTTATATTTTATTTTATATCTGTATATATTTATGTAAATAGCTTAGTGTTTAAGAAGTTATCTCATAAATTTTAATTTTAATATTTAGGTTTATATATATATATATATATATATATATATATATATATATATATATATATACATTTTTTTTTCTTTTTCTTAATTTTCTCTAACACTTATCATGATGGATCTGGATAAGAACACATCATGTGAAGACACGGAGGATGAGACACCCTTTTCGGAAATTAGCGAGACCGACTCGCAATATTTGAAAAGGCGTACACTCCAAAAGCGTCTCCGAAACTCAGTTCCCGGATCGGGACAAAACTCACCTAATAAAAAAAAAAGAAAAATAAATCAAATAAGCAACCAGAACAAGATAAATCTCCACCGAGAACTAGGAGCAAATCTAATGCCACTCAATCAGAGCCAACTGCACCAAAAACATCAGAAAGCAAAAACTCAATTCAAGAAAACAACTTATCTCACAAGACTCCGCAGCTTCAAGATTTTTCTGATCCTGAGCCGCCGCCAATATTTGTTTCAAAAATTAAGAACTTTATGTCGTTTGGTCAACAAATTGCAGATTTGATCGGACAGCCAAATTTTCGATGTTACTCGAGAGTGAACGACATCAAAATTAATACTAATTCTAGAGACAATTATAAAAAACTAATCAATTTTTTAACAACCAATAACTACGACTTCCACTGTTACCAATTAAAACAAGAAAAGGCGTATCGAGTGGTCCTGAGAGGACTACATTCAACCACACCCATATCTGCTATCAAATCGGGCCTCGAAGAAATCGGTCATAATGTCAGGCACATAGCACCTGTACTACATCCTAGAGAAAGATATCCGCTACCATTATTTTTTATAGACTTGGAACCAGCAAAAACCAATGTTGAAATATTCCAGGTTCAACGATGGGTTTACTCAATAGTCCGTTTTGAGGAACCGAAACAGAAGCCTCTAATTGTACAATGCACTAAGTGTCAAAACTTGGGCCATACAAAGGCCTATTGTTATCACGAAGTCAGATGCGTTAAATGTGCCGGCCTACACGCTTCAGACGCTTGCCAGAAGCCAAGAGATGAGCCTGCGATGTGTGCTCTTTGTGGCGAAGCCCATCCTGCGAGCTACAGAGGATGTGAAGTGTATAAAAATCTTTACAAACAAAGATCACGAAACTCAGCGGTGAAAAATCTTGGATCTGCTCAGAAAACTTACACTGAGCCACCTGAAATTGAAAATCAGGAAATTTTCCCAGCATTGCCGACTTCACCTTCCCTCGTCATCCAACAACAACCATCCATCTCTACAGCTAAGGACTCACCTCACCAGAATCTCAGAAATTCTCACTCCCAGTCTTCCATCAGTAAGAAGCAACCTCAACGTCAGGCGCCTCAGGCCTTCCAATCCAAGCCCAAAATCCCTAATACTCAGCCTCAACCTCCTCGCCAGCAAATCCCTCCTCATCATTTACCCTTAAGAGTCAAACTCCCGCCAGAGCATCCACATCCAGCTCCATTCGTTCCTAATCCCAGGATGAACCCCCCTCCACAAGTCCAACAGAATTTAGATCCTCCTCCTCCTCGTACCCCACGACGGGCCCATCCCCCACCCAACATTCCTAGTCGCATAACCTACCCATCACAACCTCCTGATCCAAACCCACTTCCCAGCCAAACACCATCCGACATCAACACTATCTTATCGTCATTCCTGATAGATCTTCAACAGACTATCAAACCGCTCATAACCCTTCTAACCAGACTCCTTTCCGAAATCCCGCTTAGCTTCCCTCGATGAACTCAAAGTCCCTAGCTATTCTCTTATGGAACGCTAATGGACTGCAAAACCACCGTGACGAACTAGACATATTTCTCCATGACAATTATATTGACATTGCCCTCCTAACAGAAACTCACTTCACCCAACGGACACATTTCTACATACGTGACTACATCACCTATAGATCTGACCACCCAGACAACACTGCCCACGCCGGTTCTTGCATCCTTATCCACAAATCTTTACCCCATTCCCTTATTCCTTCTATTCCAACAGATGCCATTCAGTCAACTTCTGTAATCCTCTCAACTCGTCCTTTCCATCTAACACTTTCAGCTGTATACTGTCCTCCTGGCAATTCCCTCTCGTACAGCCTATTTGAATCCTTTTTACAATCCCTCGGATCGAGCTTTATTGCTGGAGGAGACTACAATGCTAAACACCAACGATGGGGTTGTCGATCATCCAACTCCCGTGGTAATACCCTTTCACAAGTTTCTTCTTCCAACAATTATTCCATCCTCTCGCCCATGAATCCTACTTATTTTCCAACATCCCTCAAAAAACGTCCCGATATCCTGGACATATATTTATCACCTCCCAGATTTCCTCCTCCCACACTATAATCAAATCCCTGGATGACCTTTCTTCAGACCATAGTCCAGTTCTGCTTTCACTAAATTCTGCTTTGCTCCTAAACCATCACTTCCTAAACTGATCACTGGACAAGTAAACTGGGACAAATTTCGTGATGATTTGGAAAACAAACTAGACCTCAAAATCCCGCTAAAAACAAAAGAAGACATTAATGGGGCCATAGAAAAACTGACATCATCAATAACAGACAGTATAAATAATAACACCTTTATCAATAAGATTAACTTCCCACAAAATACTAACTTGCCACAGCATATTCGTATCTTATTACAGGAAAAACGCAGAGCAAGATCGAAGTGGCATAGGACTAGATACCCAACAGATAAATCGCATTACACACAACTGACTAACAAACTGAAATCAGAAATTAGAAAATACAAAATTCAAACTTTACTAAATTTTACTGAAAAACTTACAACCACTGACAAATCATTATGGATGACCACCAAAAAACTTCTTAAGTTTCAAGACTTTAATCACCCACTACTTACTGATTCCCAAACCTGGTCCAAATCCGACGAAGAAAAAGCCCAACTATTTGGTCAACATCTTTTCCAAACTTTTAATCCACATCCCGATATCCTTAATTCATCTCACATCAATTGTATTGAAGCAGAACTGGATATTCCTCTCCAAATGTCTCTGCCACCCAAAGCATTTCATCCCATAGAAATATCCAACATCATTCAAAAATTACCTTCCCGTAAAGCTCCTGGACATGACCTAATTACATCCCAGATCCTAAAACTTCTTCCTCGAAAAGCCATCCTATTCCTTACTTACATATATAATGCTGTACTCCGTTCTACATATTTTCCTGATCTTTGGAAACGATCTATTGTTAAAATGATCCACAAACCCAAAAAACCACCAGAATACCCATCCTCTTACCGTCCTATCTCTCTTTTACCCATCATGGGCAAAATCCTAGAAAAACTCATCTTAAAACGCCTGTACCCTATCCTAAATTCTAAACACATAATCCCAGATCACCAATTTGGTTTCCGAACTTCCCATTCCACTATACAGCAATGTCATCGTGTGGTAGACATAGTCTCCTCTGCATTGGAGCGCGGAATGTACTGTACGGGAGTCTTTCTCGACGTTGAACAGGCGTTTGATAGAGTTTGGCACCCGGGACTGCTGTACAAACTCCGAAAATTCCTACCACCTACATACTTCCTCATTATCCGTTCCTACCTTACTGATAGATACTTTAAAGTAAATCACAATAACGCCTATTCATCCCTTTTTTCCCAGTCTGCTGGTGTTCCTCAAGGTAGTATCCTAGGTCCTATCCTCTATACAGTTTATACAGCTGACATCCCTACCTGTCCCAACACTGTCATCACCACATATGCCGATGACACATGTATCCTATCAGTAAACAATGACCCAGCAATTGCATCCCAAATGCTTCAATCACACATCATAAATCTAGAAGAATGGTGTCAAAACTGGAGAATTAAAATAAACTCCAATAAATCCCACCAAATTACCTTTACCCTTCGTCGTAAACCAACGACTTCCTGTCCTACAGTTTCCTTTAACAATACTCCACTTATCCCTGTTGAGCAAATCCGATACCTAGGACTCCACCTGGACAAACGACTAACTTGGAATCCTCATACTAGACTGAAACGACAAGAAACCGCTCGACGTTTCCGATTACTTCAGCACTTACTAGACAAACGCTCTAAACTTCCCATTAATTACAAAAGACTTATATACTTGACTATAATAAGACCTATTTGGACTTACGGAGTTGAGCTATGGGGCTCCACTAAACCATCGAATTCCTCTCGCATCCAATCCTTACAATCCAAAATCCTTGGTAAAATCCTCAATGCTCCTTACTTTGTCACTAATAAAATTATCCATAAAGATCTTAATGTTCCTTATGTTTCAGATCTGGCCCAATCCAGATACCTATCCTTCCATAATAAACTTCAGAATCATCCCAATCCTCTCGTTTCTAACCTTGCTTCCTCTTCAATTCCTGATAACCCTCCGAGGCGTCTGAAAAGAAGATGGCCCCGTGATCTCCTAATGTAGTCATATCATTAGAGTGCTACCATTGGGTAGTTACTCAGCAAGTGTATTCATGTCATTATATCAATTATGTCCAAATTTACTTGATGTATTTATGTAATACAGTTGTAAATGTCATAAAGAAATAAAAAAAAAAAAAAAAAGTTTTGGAGAGGTTTGAGAGGAGGAAAATTGGAAACAAATCATTAAGAGTTGATGGGTTGAATGTATTCTTAAAGGAGCAAATTAATAATATAAAAATATGTTTTCGTAGATAAAAATTTTTGGTAAGTTCTCACTTTTTATACCACTAGATAATGAGTAATCATTGTTGCCAATTATGTTTATTTAATTTTTGTTGCAGATGACTTGAGAATGAGCAAATTAGTTCGAATTGTTGAATGTTGTATAAATTTTTAAAGTACAAGGACATATATTCCTTGAAGAAACCATATATAAGAACATTGAGTGCCCATGAAAAATCCTACTGTAGTAGCTAAATAATTATAATAATTCTAAAACACTTAGGATTTTTCTTCTATTCTTTACAAATGGGTGGGATACAGGTGTAAGATAAAGCTAATTGTCTGCCATTTTAAAACAAAAATGATGGATGGCAATATCGAGTCCAGAAGAAATCCTCGTGTGAATTGTGAATTTGATATGAATATCAAAAAATTGGTCAGGTAGTCTCAGAGAAAAACAGAGGAGAAAATTTCTTTGTTATTTGAATATTGGGTACTTTCTTTAAATGCAAAGACCAATTTTGAGGAAGGGAGGTTACATATTTGTTCTGGATCATTAAAAAGATTAATTATTGAAAATAATAAACCAAAATCAATGCAACAGTCATAAAAATTGTAATGAATAAAAAAAAATTGGTGCCTGGGACTAAGATAACTAACCTCTTACATTTCTTCACTGAAAGGTCTAAGCTATAATATGTATCTACTTCTGACAGACTAAAAACACTTAAGAGAAGTCTGTTCAATTCTTTTAACTGCCAAAATTAGCTATTCCAAAGTTCAAACTGAAGTATAATATTTAGAGTTTGAAACCCACAATTTTCGCAAAACTTAATGGTAATTCCAGACTATTCCAAATTTTCCTGACCATACAAAATCTTTAACATATTCCTGAATTTCTCAAATGGTAGAAACCCTGGTGGTAAGTACAAAAAAGAAGATTTGAACTGAAGTATCAATCTTACCTGGAATCGAAGTTTGGAAGGCATATTGGTGTCCAGCTTTCAGCTGTTTTGAAGGACTCAAAGGAACTCACCATATTGATAATCAAGTGTAGATCTGATGGTTTGATAACATACTTTTTCATATGAATTAAAGTAATGAGCTTATCATTTGCAATCAGTATAGCGAACACAAGATTCTAAACAAAAATATAATTCATATTATTAAATAAAAATTAATCACATGATTATATTATGCATACACATAAAACTATTGCAAGTGATTAATTAGATACCAAACAAAACAGGAAAAGGAACAACAGTAATATTATTTAAATAATAATAATATGACTGCCTCATAAGCACTGATTTACGAGTAACAGCTTTACAAGCTCAATCGCCAGGTTATCTATCTTAATTAATTATTTAATTAACAGTACCCACTTTATGGAAACTGGGTGTGCCCCAGGAGGATCACCTCTAGGGTCGATCCACGGCTGATGAAAAATTACCTATCATCACACCTTGAGCTTCGGAAGTCAGTTTTCTATCACCCCCAAATTCCCCATGCCATCAGTGTCACCGCCTTCCACTGGCCATGATTTTCTTTAGTTGCCACCTCTACCACATACATTTGTTGCTTCCACTATATGGTTTTGGAAAATTGGGCACTGATTATCTGAGAATTGTTCATCCCTAGAACAATTCTTACTCCATATATAATAGGGTGTATTGCTGGAAAAAAAATTTCACAGGCACTGAAGCAACTCGTGAAATTATTAAATATGAAAGGGAAGGTGTCCATGACCAGTGCACTGTGCGGTGTTGGTTTGAAAAATTTAGCAGGTGAAATACGATGTTGGAAAGGAAGAAAGGCTCCAGGCGACCATTAATGGATATTGATGAAGTTCTGGGGGAAGCTGTTGAGTTAAATCCATCTACAAGTACTCACGAACTTGCCAGGGAGTGTGGTGTGTCGAAAGATACTGTTAGTTGCCATCTAACCTCCATGGGGAAGGTGAAAAAGAGTAGTAGACTGGTACCTCACGAACTTATTCCTCAGTAATCAGCTAAGAGATTAGAAATTTGTGAAAATTTATTGAAAATTCCTTGCCTGAAAAACTCCTGCCTCATCAACCATACAGCCCAACCTTGCACCATTGTTCTTGATCCATGGCCAATTTTCTTCAGGGGGAAAAATTTGATAATTTTTTGGAAGTTGAAATTGCGGTCCAAGAGTTCTTTGACAGCCACCCCCAAAGAATGGTATCAGCGTGGGATTAAGCAATTGGCTAGCAGAAGGCTAATGACAGTAGATAACAATGGACTATACTTTGAGTATTAATTATATTTTATATCAAAGAAATAATAATACAAATATTTGGTCGAAAAACGGTTATTTTTTTTATAAACCCTATTAGAACAGTCTGTATTGGCTAGTAGGCAGCAGCAGCACCATTAAATATATTCTCAAAATATTCTTTATGACAAGCCAGGTATTCATTAATAGAGACAGAATTTGGTCTTCGTCACTCCAGAGGGTGCTATAGTATTACTTAATAGGTAAGTAGTAATATAAACAGGGATTTATCAAAAGCAAATATTGAAAATCATTAAAAATTTAAGAAAAATATAGTTGACAGTAATAATATAACTAAGATACAGTAAACTATATAATACCTTAATCTTGGAACATGTAGAAATAATCGCCTGAGATATTGATTCTCTCACAGCTGAACTTAATGGCAGGCAAGAAATGCCATCTAATAGAAACTCAGGTTGGTTTTCCGTAAAAGTTAATAAATGATCAATTAGTCTTTCAGACCCAGCCAAAAGTCTACGAAGATCATAATTAAGCCTCTGTTCGAAAATTCTAGTAACTCTAGTAAGAGTTAGAACACTCACAACTTGGTTGTACACATACCTACATAAAAAAAAAAAATAAATAAATACTAACACAAAAATGTAATAGCCATAATCAAACAACAAAATTTAATAACAATTTTGAAATAAATACATTTTTTTTTAAATTAGTTAAATATGTGCATATTTTAACAACTAATTGATTAAATTATATTGTATGAATAAGAACTCTTAGCCCTAATACTTATAGCCCTCCAGCAGTTGCTGATTGTATTATTATTCAATAAATAGATTATTATAAAAATTGATTAAATATGCTTAAGGGCCTGAAAATAGATAAGTAAGCCTCACAAGAGTAGCTCCAATTCTTAAAAAAATATGTTGCATTCTTTGAAGCAAAGTTATGACTTATGATATAGCTGCTGATTAATATGTCAATGTGAAGCAATACATTAACATCAAATCATTAAGTTAGTGTTATAATTTAAATTATTTGCAACTAATTGTCTTTAAAATTATATCAATTGTATTTAAGTGAGAATGTTTTTCTATTTATTTCTATTACTTATAATTTATTTAATTTTACTACGAATTTCTGTATTTCATTTAATTTTAACTCCTCATTTAAGTTACATTTCCTTGGTTTATTATAGTTTTTGCCTTTGTCATATAGATTTTTTCATTTTTTTTTTTATTTATTTATTTTTTATTATTATTATTTTTTTTTCTGGTATTGTATATATGGTATGAATGTGCCTCACTCAGCCTTAGTACTCAGTGCCCTTAAGTGTGGAAAAATGTATTATTTCTCAATAGACAGATATATATGATCTTGCAAAAATTATATCAAATACACCATTTTTCTTATCCAATCAATTAAACACAAAATCAATATTTTCGAAAATATTAAAAATAATTTTTCTGACAAACATAGATCCCTTCTTAACAATTCAACAAACAACAATTACCACTCTTCTAAATTCCATAAAAAGATAATTTTAAAGAAAAAATTCTTCCAACTCCAACTATCCTCTGATTTCAAAAAAAGTTTACACCCGTGGCAAAATAGAATGGGTTCACAACATTTCTTCCATCAAACTTTGTCTCATGTCAACAATATTCTTAGTTTCGGCCCAAATTTTAACACTCCTTCTCAATCTACCAACCTTTTGTAAGCTCTCCTCAATAATCAAGAATATACCCACTAAGACACTAACTTGATTGTTAACAATGACAAATGAACGATTTCCTGAACACAAACGTGCAACATTATCACAAACCATCCCCAGCGTCCACCTTCCATACCATCTACTTTTTTCATCGCAATAAATTTTTTAAAGATCTTTCCTCTACTCATTCCTTTCTTTTTTTTTTTGTATTTATTTATACATGATATTTACAACTGTATTAAAAAATTAGGTACATTAAGTAAATTTGATAACAGAAAATAAAAACATGAAATGACTTGTTGAGAAACTACCCACTGGTAGCACTCTAAAAACAAAATGTATTTACAATAAGAGATCTCGAGGCCATCTTCTTTTCAGACGCCTCGGAGGGTTATCAGGAATAGAAGAGGAAACAAGGTTAGAGACGAGAGGATTCGGATGGTTCTGAAGTTTATTATGGAAGGATTGGTATCTGGATTGGGCCAAATCGGAAACATAAGGAACATTAAGGTCATTATGGATTATTTTATTGGTGACAAAGTAAGGAGCATTGAGGATTTTCCGAAGGATTTTGGATTGTAAGGATTGGATACGAGAGGAATTCGATGGCTTAGTGGAGCCCCAAAGCTCAACTCCGTAAGTCCAAATAGGTCTTATTGTAGTCATGTATATAAGTCTTTTGTAATTTACTGGAAGCTTAGAGCGTTTGTCTAGTGAGTGTTGCAGTAGTCGGAAACGTCGAGCGGTTTCTTGTCGTTTCAGTCTGGTATGAGGATTCCAGGTTAGACGTTTGTCCAAGTGAAGTCCAAGGTATCGGATTTGTTCAACAGGGATAAGTGGGGTATTATTAAAAGATACTGTGGGACATGAGGTCATAGGTTTACGTTGAAGGGTAAAGGTGATTTGATGGGATTTATTAGAATTTATTTTAATCCTCCAGTTTTGACAACATTCTTCAAGGCTTGTGATGTGCGATTGAAGAGTTTTCATTCCTTTCTGAAATCCCACAACCAAATCATTGTCACTTGTGCAGACAAGGGTAATAAAACTGTCATCATGGATTGCACCGAGTACAATGATATATTATTTGCACTCCTTTCCGACCAAACTCCCTCCCCTCCCTATCTCTCTACGAAACAAGACTATACACTCTCTCTCACAACCAAATTTAACAAACACCTTCTCACTACTAAACAAATAAAAACCCCTACCTAAAAAAATCTCATTTCTTATAATTCTACTGCTCCTCAGTGCTATGGTTTATTGAAAATCCACAAATCAGGCAATCCTCTCCGATCTATCATTTCTAAAATAAACTCTTCATCAGTCACTTAGCCAAAATAACCTCTCCCTCTCCCTCTCCCTCTGGTGGTCAGAGTCCACCCCTTCAACATCCCTTCTAGTATAGAGGACATTTAGGGGAAATAGAGGGCTCTACATCATTCCCAAAACTCCCCTTTACTCACGACAACTTATATTTAACTTATAGGAAATGTAATTACCATGTTATTATTATTATTTTTGCTATATTATACTTCTAAAATTATTTTTTTTGTAATTATTATACTTCTACCTAAATAAAATCTAGAGAAATTAAACTTTTTAGTTCAAACTATTTTCTGAGTATTTAAGAGGCAGGTTAAAAGCTAAAAAAGAAAAATTTTATTGAGAACATTATTTTCTCCACTCCACTTCATAGAATTAGTTTGATGTTCGCCAGATAATGATATATAACTGCTTCTTCATTTCGAAAATGTGTTAAAATACCAATTAAACATCGAGTAAGTAAAGGGGTGGTTAACTGGACTGTTCAAATACATAATAAACTATTGTTATATTTTTTTTAAATATTCTCATTATATAGATGAGTGATATAAAAAGAAAAAGATTTTGTGGAGAGGAGTAACAGTTCCTCACATCTCTAGTTCTCGAAAAAGCTGATGTTATAGAAAATAAAGATACAGATACTGTTTCAATTACAAAAAAAAGAGGCTTGGGAGGAAATTCTTGCCGAATTCAATGAGAAGGTTGTTTTCCCCACTCCCCTCAAACGATTCAGTAGTAAAAGGTAACGGTGGGTGACTCAATAAATATTTAGTGTGAAGGAAATACATTTCCTCACTTGACAAGTTTTAGAAAGAGTGTCAGTTCTGAAAAACAAGAAAAATCTTGGAGAGTATCAAGTATGCTGCAATATCCTTATCAAGTGTATGAGAGTTCTCATATATTTTGATTTGTTGGTGTTCATAGTACTATTTATATGATAATAGCTAAAATAGAAAGACAGAAAGCCTATGTAAGTCAATTAGCCTTGCCAGAATTTATCATACTATGTTTTGCATTTATAGAATTTGTTCCTTTGATGATAGCAGGTTGTAATGTTACAATATTAATTTGTCATGTAATTTAATTAAATTTTTCAAACAATTCAATTCCTTGTAATACACAATGATCTAGTTTTAATCTAAGAACTACTTATTATTGAACCATTTAAAGTGGTGTAAGTAAAAAAGTAAAGTTTTTAGATATTGATACCTTACTAGAAATACTATAAAGGCAGGTATAGATTTATATAAATTTCTAAATAAGGAATTACAACTTCCTTTTGCTGATAAAAATAGTCTCAAGTGTATCCAACAATTTAATAAAACTTACATTTAATCCTGCGGGTAGTCAGACCATTGCCCACTTAATTAGGGGATGCTTACAAGTTGAAACATACTAGCAAAAACAGGATAATAAATAATTTAATTTAATAATATTTAACTTATAAGAAGTGCGATTTTGGTTATTATTGTACTGCTGAAATACAGTGTTTACTATTTTTTTTAGAGCTTCTTGTAATGTACACCAATTTGTGAAATTTCAAACTTCAGAATATTTATTTTAATGAACAACGTTTTAGCCCCACTTTGGGGGCCGGGGTCTGTATTATTTAATAAACTATTTTATATCGATTTTGTTTAAAAATATTTTTTGGTATTAAATATTCAATACCAAGGATTAGAACTATTATAATAGCTTCGTTGAAACATTTTAGGAAAAAAGTTTTAGAAATAAAAGTTCTAAGGATTTTTTTAAAAATAAATTTATACAAAAATATGAAACAAAATACATGTAAAATGTAGTCAATTTCAAAACATAAATTAAATGAATAGGTCAACAATAAGTAAATATGATTAATATAATTGAATTGATATTTAAAAATATTAAGGTGTAAATAAATAAAAATGAAAGTATTACATTTATCCTTGTAGAGATAACATTTGTGCTTTGTGTTCATTTGACAAACTTGACAGTAATATTTGGTATACTATTACAATATTTTAAAAATATATACCTTGATTTCTTAGTTAGGCATTCATTTTTAGTAAATCTTAATTTTTTAGTAAAATCTTATCTGAATTGAATTCCTCATTCAATTTACTTTCGTTATTTCCATAATCCATCACCCGAGTTGGTCCTCCAAATCTGCCAGCTAAACTTTGGCATAGTTTAATGGCTCCCTAAGACAACCTTCCATTGGGCATAACAAATAGAAAAAAGGGTGGTAAAGGTCAGCAGAACAAGTAGCAATAGTGAAGTATTTACTAATTGGAACACCGAATGGTGGCAACTGTGTATAATGGTTCATTGAAAATAATTTAAAAACTTTAAATGACCTGAGGGATTGAACAGCACCAACAGTTGTAAAATAAAAATTTTTTAAAAACAAAAATAGGTATTTTCAGATAAAGGGAAATTGAAGTAGATAATAAATCAGGTTTTTAAAAATATTTATTAATGGAAGGGTTGAATGAAGTGATATAAGTCATTTTCATAATAAATAATTAATTGATTATTTAGTATGTTGAATTCATACTTTATTTTTTGACTTGAGCATCTGTAAAAA